TAACATAATATTGTCATGCTAGTACCATGGTCCATGGGTTCTCATCAGGAACAACGAAAAATAATTATATTTGAACTAATAATATAAACTAATAATATAACTAATAATAACTGTATCGATTAGATGAGGAAGATGTGTGAAATAATAAAAAATAAAAAAAATATCCCAAAACAGTATATTAATCATATGGTTTTTCAATTCAATTCTCTAGTTAATGAGTTCAAAGCATGCCAGTTGAATTATGATTTTAAAAAATATTGTATGTAAAGGAAAACGAAATAATGCACTGTCGTAAATCAAAGAACAATGCAACCTTTTGCATCATGGTGGCATCATTTTATCAGGCGTTAATTTAATACTTTATTCTACTCAACCAGTTTGGCAGTTTACATAAAGTGACTCTGCTCTTTCCTAGAACATATTATACAAATATTACTGCTATATTTAATATTTGGTTAGGGGGTCTGGGTAACAAGTGACTCCATTTTTATGTTTTTATGAATTTGTACTTGAATATTCTTCAAAATCGAAGTATACCTTTTTGGGGTTTATTTACTTTCTTTCAATAATAATATAACATTTTATATGATAACATGTTGAAGTAAGGAAAATAAGCTCCAAAAGGTGTACCTATATCGATTTGAAAAATATCAGAAAATATAAAAATATGTATTTAAATCCATTTGTTGCCTAGATCCAATCAAGGATAGCAGTAGCATTTGTACATGATCTAGGAGGGTGACAAGTTACTCTACGTAAGCTGGTTGAGTAGAATTTAAAGCAGTATTTATCAAAAAAAATAACGCCTGATAAAGACTAATAGCAAAAACATCGGCATGATTCAGATAGGTTGTAGGAAATATTTACATATTATATACACATACCTTCCTCGTTTATCGCTCTTTCTATTAGTGAAAACCGCATCAAAATCCGTTGTGTAGTTTTAAACCACAAGCGAAGTAATCGGTGAAACAGACAGTGGCAGAGTGCAGACAATATTTTTTTTTACTATGTATGTACCTATACAATCTATAAAGGGGTACCGGAAAATAATGTCGTTTCTGCGCATATCGATTTTCGATTGATATCAGCTAGTTGTGTATATCTAAGTCCGGGAAATAAGTACATTTTGAGGTTAGAGTGACTTGTTTGCTTGTAATTAATTACATTTTTTAAATCACAATCGAGAAACTGTCAAATACCCTTAACCAACCATGGTCGACCATCCAAGAACATTTGTAACAGATTGGCAAATTAAACAGAACAGATGTTTGGGTTCCGCATAATCTGTCCGACGAAAACAAAGACAACCGCTCAACTGACAACTACATGCAATTGATTGCTTTAGCGTCACAATAAATAAGCATTTTTTGATCGTTTTATAACCGTACAAGAAAAATGGGTCGTCTACTATAATCCAAAACGCAAAACGCAGTATCTTTCTCCGAATGAAACGCCACCAAGTACAGCTAAGTCAGGTTTAAACCCAACAAAAGGCGATAATAATTATATCATTTAATTTTCAAACTAAATTCTAACCAAACATGACCTACATCAATGTGTACATATTAGTTATAGGTACCTATAAAACTAACAATCGGCTCTAGCGTCTGCAAATATTTATAAGTTACTTAGAGCCTCCATAAGCTAGTAGTCACTCACCACTGATATCATAACATAATATTGTCATGCTAGTACCATGGTCCATGGGTTCTCATCAGGAACAACGAAAAATAATTATATTTGAACTAATAATATAAACTAATAATATAACTAATAATAACTGTATCGATTAGATGAGGAAGATGTGTGAAATAATAAAAAATAAAAAAAATATCCCAAAACAGTATATTAATCATATGGTTTTTCAATTCAATTCTCTAGTTAATGAGTTCAAAGCATGCCAGTTGAATTATGATTTTAAAAAATATTGTATGTAAAGGAAAACGAAATAATGCACTGTCGTAAATCAAAGAACAATGCAACCTTTTGCATCATGGTGGCATCATTTTATCAGGCGTTAATTTAATACTTTATTCTACTCAACCAGTTTGGCAGTTTACATAAAGTGACTCTGCTCTTTCCTAGAACATATTATACAAATATTACTGCTATATTTAATATTTGGTTAGGGGGTCTGGGTAACAAGTGACTCCATTTTTATCTTTTTATGAATTTGTACTTGAATATTCTTCAAAATCGAAGTATACCTTTTTGGGGTTTATTTACTTTCTTTCAATAATAATATAACATTTTATATGATAACATGTTGAAGTAAGGAAAATAAGCTCCAAAAGGTGTATTTCGATTTGAAAAATATCAGAAAATATAAAAATATGTATTTAAATCCATTTGTTGCCTAGATCCAATCAAGGATAGCAGTAGCATTTGTACATGATCTAGGAGTGTGACAAGTCACTCTACGTAAGCTGGTTGAGTAGAATTTAAAGCAGTATTTATCAAAAAAATAACGCCTGATAAAGACTAATAGCAAACACACAATCTCTGGGTTGTTTATGGTTTAGGGATTTGATTTCTTCTTAAATAGACTTCTTACATAGTAGATATTCTAATTATGATATTAATTACTGGCGAAAGTAAAAAATAATGATGCCAAAAATTGCATCCCCTTTGTGTAATTACTAATTTTACTGATTATTGAAAAATTTGCAATAAAAAAATGGGTTTATAGTGCCAATGCCCAGATGGCGATTTTATTTTTATTGTGTTTTTTTATAATGGTTGAAAAATGTTTAAATCACTGAAGTTGGTTTAGTTGAATGCTATTGTGTGAAAACAATTAAAAAGAATCAAGCAATATTCTTTAATACCTTAATTCTCAAGATTTAGTTGAAACGATGTTTTAACGCATACGCGACTAAGGACGGAAGATGAGGTCAATGGTTAACCGCATAGTTTTATTTGTTGAGCATTTAACTGTCAGTAATCAGTGTTAATAATAACGTAAAATTGTAAAGGTAATTGTAGGCTATTCATATATATATATATATATTATAACAAACCCGTTCGTAGTCGGCTAATAAATTAAATCTAATAGAAAATTCTGATCACGCGACTAATAAATTTAATATAAACATATCGATTGTGTCAATTTTGGGGAATAATCAGATTCGATTAGAAAATATAATCTAAGATTTTGGCAGCATTTTTTCTGAATCTGAAACTTTGTATGTTCTAAAACAATATTTAATGCCATAAAACAGTACCTACTCTTTTTGAAAGTTGTAAAATCACAAAATAAAACGTATTATTAACTTTACTTTTTTTTGTATTTATTATATTAATAATGATACTTCACCGTCGAAATCTGGAAGTGTAAAGCAGGTTCGCCAGACCTACTCTCTTAGTGATTGTGGAACGCCTTTCGAACTCACAATGGGGAAGATTTCTTAAAAGGAAGGTGCTACACATATGATCTATTTACATTCAGTGTGAGGATAAAACAATTTATTATGATAAAAGACAAAAGAGATTTTGTACTTGGTTTTTGCTTCTATTGTATTTGCATCTTACCTGTGCAATGTATTATGCCTGGAAGTAAGACCAGGTGATCCTTCACCTATAGAAGTAGAGGTGCATCGTGTGTTGGTCTGACTGATGGATCAAAACACAGCTTAAATCGATGGTCGTAGAAACTCAAAATTTAGAGGATGTATTTCATATATGGTCTTCTTCTTCTTTGATGAAGAATAATATTCCTTATATGATTTAGGCATCCAACAAGGAAGAATTTTTCGAAATCCATCCCCTGAATGGCTAAAATAGGGGATTAAAGATTGTATGAAATTCTGCCATTCTGAATGTGAAATACACAGAAAGTGGAGTTTAGCTTTAAGATAAAAAATAAGAAATATATTTATTTGATTTTTGTAACGCCATCTGTTGACATATATTTGAACTTATTAACATAGATAGTAAAAGCGCCATCTGTTCTACAAATTCATTTCCTGATGGCTGATTTTTTAATCTAATATATAAAATTCTCGTGTCACAGTTTTCGTTGCCATACTCCTCCGAAACGGCTTGACCGATTTTGATGAAATTTTTTGTGCTTATCCGGTATCTATGAGAATCGGCCAACATCTATTTTTCATCCCCCTAAATGTTAGGGGTAGTCCACCCCTAAATTTTATTTTTTATTTTTTAGACAAAATTTTTAATTTCTATTTTTTTATGATACAACATACAAAAATACATACAATCCTCAATTTTCACCCTTCTACGATCAACCCTTATTTTTTAATAGCCATTTTAGTAATTTACATACAATATACACATTCTAACATACATACATACTTACAATAAGTAAGCTATTTTTTGTCTACACTAGAAATTACTAGGAAATAATTTATATGGCAAAACAACGTTTGCCGGGTCAGCTAGTTATCACTAAAATATTTTTTAAAACCATAATGTGCCTTTTTAGGATCTATTTTTTTACTTCTGATTATTTTACACACATTACAATAAAAGTTCAATATATGTAATTTATGAAATTTATTCATATTCATTCAATCATTTCATTTAAGGATATTTCATGTTGAGGTACACCATATTTCTATAATTCTATAAACGAATAGCCAATATCATAAAAGAAGTAAAATAAAGTATCAATAGGCAATTATGAATAAAACACTACTACTACATCTCACCTAATATTTATAAATTAAAAGAAGCATAAGTTTTGGGCAGTTAGATATTAGGCTCAAAGGTATGACATAGACAGAGTGTCATAAAACTAAACATGAAACCAAACAATAATGTTTACAAAACACACAGTAAACAGTATATAAATAACAAGTTTTTGTACAAAAGGTAGTTAGTTTTGTTTAAAATGCGAAATATTCCCATAAATCTAAGAAAGTAATTTTAGACTGACATTTTTTGTTCCGCACACTATATACCTACTTAATTCTTTATTCTGAGATATTAAGTTACTTATTACTCATAAAATATTACTCCTATTTTTAATTGAACTATGTTCTTTGTACATCTGGATTATTACTACTAGAACTTTCATCACTACTGTCTTCTTCACTGGATTCTTCGGTAGATTCATTAGAATCATCTCCTCGTGCTGCTTTTTTTGCCATTAACTCTTTAAACTGACGCACAGTAATTTTACGTGGCATAATTTCTCTTAAAAAGTCTAATGTATCATCTTCTTGGACCACTTCAGCAATGTGTTTATATTCGAGAAAGTTATTTTTACTATTTTTAAAAGCTCTTTTTGCAAGATCTGTGACGAATAGTTCCTGAAATTTAATTTAAGGCTGTTAGAATATAAAGATATTATAAACAATGAATTTAATAGCTAATATATAGAATAAGTAATACTTGTAGAATACCGCGAAAAATATCTCATACTTACTGTTACTTTTGTGACTAAATATAACGGTTCTGGTCCAACAGCATCCACCTCTGGTGAACTTTTCATTATAGTTTTTACTCTAGACAGAGGTAAATGTAAATCTTTTTCAGCTTTTGGAGTAGACATAATAAGAAAATTTCTTAGAACAGATTTGAAAATTGAAATATAAAAACGATTGTATATAACTTCTGTCAGATTGACACTTGACAGTGTCGTGTCACAATTTCAAGTTTAAGATTGAGTTTTGACACATAACAGTTGACACGAGAGAGTCGTATACAGTCCATGATTATGATTATACAGTGTTTTTTCCGATAAGAGTATTTATATATTCTGTTGTGTTTTTAAACAGCTGCTCACTGCTGTACACGTCCCGATCGAGTGCTCTCAGTACATGACACATCTCGATAAAAACTTGCGAAAAAAGCTTATAAAGGGGCGTGATCTTATACACTTTTTGTATGGAACGCAAGAAAAGCCCAACATAAAAATGAGTAAACCGAGGGAAGTACTAGCAAGTACCTACACTCTTTTTATCTATAATGTCTCAGACCACTTCAGCGAGAGTGATACAGCTGATATAAAATATGGGCTTCATATTTTAATGGAGAAGAATTTTGCCTTTTTTCTCGCCAGCTGTCGCGTTCACTATGGCCCTCAGTATATTGTAAATAGGGCTTTAATCCCACAAACGAGAAACTAGACTTTTGACGCTTAAGTCTAATAATTACTATTATTCAGAAATAAATTAAATCACCAGTATTTTTTAATTCCGGTTACGTGGCAGCACTGAAAAGTGTAATGTAGCCTATGACCACAGAGGGAAATACTAAACCATCGCTATATAAAGTATATAATATCTATCCCCTATCTATTATTAGAGTAGAAGCAGAAGGTTTTTTCTAGCACGGGTTACTTTTGTAATAAAATCAGATCCTCTCTGTCTGAAAGTACATTAAATACTCTATGTTTTTACGTGCCCACTGTAAAAATGAAAAAAAAACTCATAAATAATTAGGTCCTTACATAATATGAAATTGGCGTTTTGTCAAACCGACTACTTTGATATATAATATGATCATCACTCTGTCAAAGTTCACATTATTGAAAACTTAAAATTTTGAATCTTATCGACAATAATTGGAAACGTTCATCACAATGGTTGAACCCAGGAGAAATCCTGCCCCAAGCGAAAATTGACTCAAAAAAAATCACAGATAAGTGTCTGGTAGATACTGGTGTCATCCACTACAGTTTCCTAAGATCTGGCCAGACGATTACGGCAAGAGCCAAGATCTGTATTGTCAATAATTGCAAACCATGATGAAAGAGCTGGCCGTTAAATAACCGAGACTGGTCAATTGCTCTAGCCCACTGCTGCTTCAGGACAACGCTAGACCACACACGGTTGCTAAATTAGAGGAGCTACGATTAGAATCTCCGACATCCACCATACTCCTCGGACCTTGCTCCAACAGATTATCACTTTTTCCGGAATTTCTTGTAGGGAAAAAAATCAATTTAGATGAGGCTGTCAAAACCACCTTCGGAGATTTTATTGATTCCCGCTCCCACAATTTTTCCAGCAAACGAACTACATATAAAATGGCGGAAGTGTATAGATAACAATGGTACATACTTGGACTGATTATATATATAATTTCTTAATTTTTTTTTGTTTTGCTTTTTCCACATAAAACGCCAATTTTATATTTAAGGACCTAATAATTGTTAATTTTAACTGTATTTGAGTTTGTATGATTAATAAAGTACTTTATTGAAATACCTTGTATCGACTGCCTAACTGCCTAGCCTATGAGTATTATTGACAATTTTTTAAGTAGTCTCGAAAGTCTCGTTTGTCCTGGGAATTTCGAGACCACACTGAGTCTCGATTTTTTCCCGGGACTCGTAAATATAACGAGACTACTAGTATAGTATTATATGATCTGTGACGAGACTGAAAGCCTTAATTGTAAAGCTCTTTAACATGGATGGATTTTTTTCATTTTATTTAAAATTTAATTAAAATGACAAATCATGCAGGGCCAGGATACAAAGAAAATGGATATGATATTTTGTTCCCAAAAGAAAAAAAAAGTAAAGAAATAATGAGCTAAATCAATAATATTTTTTTGTCTTAGGCATTACAGTAAAAAAAATTAATTATAATCTAATAATTATTTTTACCGTCTAATTATTTTATAAGTGATGCATGTTGTGGTTACCTGTAAGAGCTTTGCATTTTAGATTTGTATTATTAAAGGTGTTTCTTGTGTATATATGAAATGTAAAGTTGTTGGTTAACCTAATAAAGAGAGAAAAAATACTAGGTGTGGACTGTACCTATTTAAATTTCGATAATTTTAGTTATTGACATAAACATATTTAGCGATTTCCATAGCTAAGGTATAGCAATTATTGTACATATATATCAGCCCTTTTAAACATTCCATCGTCCACGGCTAGGCACAGGCCTACGTAACGGGCGGTGCTACGAAATATTTAGATTAGAAATACCCTACATACTAATGTGAAGCAAAAATATTCATGATTTAGAATCGACAATATTGTAATCGATACACATGAAACGCCTGCCTTCTAAATATAGCTCTAATAGTTTCCAAGTGAAATGGCTATTACATACGGTCAGGCGAACACGACGAAATTATAAGGGTTACGTTTGTAGCTTGTTGCTACGGAGAATTCCAACAACTAAATCAAAAACAGAGTTACCAAAGTAAAATTTCCACCTGTCTTAAAAGTAAAACTGAAGAAATGTTTATTTTAAAGTGTTAAAAGATATTTTTGTGTTTAATTAGAATAAAATTCTAAACTGCCATATATATAGTCCATAGCCGTAGGAAGTAATAGGTTTACCTTATAATAGAATGTCTGGGTCAACACTCAACAGGACCTTTATTTATGTTTTTAGTAAGCTCTTCTACGGTTCTACCTCAAGTTTTTCAAATGGATCGAGATCCCACTGTAAGATTACTACGTTCATTGCGTATTTAATCGAAATCAATTTTGTATATACAATAATAAAGGGGACAATATGTTTTGACCGGGGTGCCTATTCAAATGTGCCCGCTGGTATGTTTAATTAACTAAATAATAGTTGACTTTTTGGAATAAAAACGATGCATTTGTTATTACAATGAATTATACTCCACTTCACAGAACTACTTGAAAAATCTTGAAAAATGATAGCTGCCGTTGCGCATTTGGCCGCAACCTCTTCGCAGCCAGGTATGAGCGGGCCATATTTTGGTATGTTATGCGTTCATAGCGTACATGCATCATTTATATATCAAATAAAGCTAATTTCTTTCTGTACCTGATAAGCTACGTCTGCCTATGTAAAAGTGGCCGCAAAAGTGGTTGCGAGTCATTAAAAATGTTTTTGTTACATTTATAAGTTCATGGCGTATATTTATCATTTTTATATCAAATTAAAGCTAATTTTTTTCTGTGCATGATAAAATACCTCTACCTATGTAAAAGTGGCCGCAATGGAAAGAAAAGAAGAAAAGAATATAATATTATATGTCGTTTGTCAGACAATAACAACGGTTAACATGGCAAAGATAGATTAAAATGAAAGAGAGTTAGCGCGTTAGTTATCGGTTTCATACAAATTTTCATCCGCTAGTTTAGGTACCCCCATATGGGATGAATTTCGAAAAATGCTAAAACACGTACTTAATTAATTGTATTGAAGAGCAATTTATACCAAGTTTCGAGTAATTCTGTCAAGTAATTCTGTCATAAATATTTTTTTGGATTGTATTATAACGTGTTTTCTCGTGGGAAAGAGACCATCTTCCGCGGTAAAATTTGCCTATCTCCAGCCAACTATCTATACACAAAAAATCACGCCAATCCGCCAAACCGTTTCGACGTGAAAAAAAGACAAACAAACAAACAAACAAATACACTTTCACATTTATAATATTAGTATGGATTTTTATTAAAGACTGCTTTACACTGGAGCGCATAGTATAAGTAATAAGACAAGGGAATCGAGATCAGTTTCGTAGAAGAGGCGTTATGCCGTTTGCTCCTTCACAGCATATTATGAGTCGTTTTTACTGCCAAAGCGCGCCAATGCTTTAAGATATGAATATCTAATAGGTAAATTAAATATGACAAAGTATGAACTTTAATTATAGTTAAAATATTATACATCAATTTGTGATGTAGTTATTTATATACCTAGTATATAGTAGACATATTGACATAGATTTGCTTTGTATCGGCTGGCACCGACTTCGAAAATATTTGATTAGGATGAAAACCCCCGTTCAGTTTTTATTTTATTTTTTAAAGTTTTATAAAAACTAGTATTTTTTAATAGTAGTAATTCTCTCTGATATGTTCCCATTTTGCATTTTAGTTTCGCAACCGTAAAAAATCGCCAAATGTTTTTTTTAAGTCCTTTGCAATATTACTACGAGTTTTCACTCCTTCATTACCCGAAGACCTCCATATTTTTAAACGCGGCCGTGACAAACGTGACAACAAACACATAGGTGTATTAAATATTGTGAAAATAAAAAAAAACGCGACTGCATAAAAGCTAAATAAAAAGATGAAAACAAGTTCACGAAGGAATATAGTATTATGCAGTCGGAGACATACACGTTTCATAATATAATATATGAGATATTTACCTAATCGGGCAAGATAAATCTATACTACGAGTAATATAATAAAGAGGTAAAGTTTGTGAGATTGTGAATTGTGAGTTTCTGATGTTGTAGGGGATAGGTAATCTCTGGATCTAGTGAACCGATTTAGATGAAATTTGGTAAGGACAGTTTGAGACCCTGGGAAGGACGTAGGATACTTTTTATCCTGGAAACGATTTCCAAGTGAAGTTAAGTAAGGGTAAAAATGGGGATGAAAGTCTGTATGGGGAATCAATCTAGGGACGAACACGAGCGAAGCGAGGGTGAGTCGCTACTTGAATACATAAAATAATTAAAAAGAAACACAGAGAACAATAGCGAATTAGAATAAATTAGAATACAAAGTAAAAAAATGAATTAGAATAAAAAGACAAATCAACTCCTCATGAGAACTAGCGGTGGGGGTAAAAGCCGTAGCAACGTAGAGGCTTTGTCTGAAAGAGCGAAGGCCGAAGAGATTGTAAGACAAGAAGAACTCAGTCAAACTCTGAAAGATGAATGTTACGGGTCGGGGTCACAAATTGATCTTTAACTGTACAGAGATTACACATATGACTCGAGATGGAATAGTGCAAAGTTTTAACGAGACTTTGGAACTTGGAAACAATTTTAAAAAAGGTGTACACTGTTCATCACCTACATGGTGTATTATATTTGAATGATTATGATAATTATATGTGAATGATTTTTAAGTATCACTTTCACTTCTCGGAACGAACATTTCTTAGCATTATTGCGCATTTATTTTCAAAAATAGTATAAAAAATTAATAAATCAATACATATAATAAAATTCGAAGTTGAATCTGTACATTAAATATTTTTTCGAAAATATTATTGAAATAGACATTATTATCGATGCAGAGGCCGAATCTATAGTTTTCAGAATTTTTGTCTGTCTGTCTGTCTATCTGTCTGATACCGCATCACGAAAAAACCATTGGACAGATTTTGAAAAAATTTGAAAATATCTCTGAGCTAAACGTTAAAACCACAGATATAATAATAGAATTATATCTATGGTTAAAACGTAGAGGGCGAGTAGCTAGTTATATTAATAATGTTCAATGATATTATATATATTTTTTATTTCGTATTGGGCGCACGTTCGTTTTCTATCTTTTTCTAGAGAGTGGCGAATTTCATGACAGTATTGCTCAGTCCATTCTCTAGGTCTATGGGTATTGGGTGGGTATACTTAAGTCTACCATACCGGCCAGGTTCCGAGACTATGTGTATGGGATGTATTTTTTTATATAAATAAATATTATCTGCGGTATATAGTTTTGCGCCATTGGCATCTTGCGCGTGAAAAATATGTCGTCCGAAAGGGTCTGAAATTTTTTTTCGTTCAAACTTTTTGAGTGGAATATCAAAATTAAGGATTTTAAGAGGCGATTACAAAAACATACATAACTTATGTGTTTCAAAAGAATTTCATTTGGGGGGGGGTCATGACCCCTCCCCCCCAAAGCCAAATATATTTTTGAAGAACCTGAAGTTTGAGAATAAAAGGATTAATAGGTTAATGTTGGCCAAGGTAATAAGTTATTACTACACAAAATTTGGTTAAAAACGGTTCAGTACTTTTTGCGTGAATCCGCACAAACAAACAGACATACAGATAAAAATGTTGTTTGGGGTTCTATATTCTGTACACTATACGTTACACGTTTACAGTCATTGTTTATAAAAAAAAATCATGTACAGATTTTGCTAAGTTACTGTTTTATTATATGCATATTTCATGCCCCAGGCCACCCCCACCCCCCCAAATTTAACTCTGGATCCGCGCCTGGCGAGGGTGAGTTGCTAGTTGTTAAATAAAACTGAATTTTGAAAACTAAAGTAGATACATAAATATACGTAGCAAGGCTCGTAGCAAGTATAGCTAGGCATAATGCTGCAGCGTCATTTCGAATCTGCAAGATATTTACAATAACTCTTACTAAAATACGGCAGAGATAATTATTATCATGTTAAGGTTTATTGAAATGGCCTCATGGAATATACTATTGTGTTTGGGGTATTTTTTGAAAATTTAAATAAATACAAGAAATTAAATTAAACACATCTATACTAATATCATAAAGAGGTAAAGTTTGTGAATTGTGAGTTTGTGGCGTTGTAGGGGGGTAATCTCTGGATCTCCTGAACCGATTTAGATGAAATTTAGTAAGAAGATAGGATACTTTTTATTCCGGAAATCATCCCTTAAAGGGGTGAAAATGGGTATAAAAGTTTGTATGGGTAATCAACCTAGGGACGAACCCGAGCGAAGTAAGGGCGAGTCGCTGGTACATAAATAATAAAGTTGTAACTGATCGCTGTCTGTACATGGAAGATATTTGAGAAAGACTATTATTAGGGGTCCTTATTAACGCAATAGAACCCAAAACAATGATATTTAGAATTCTGTTTGTCTGTACGTTTGGGCGCGCTAATCTAAGAAACGGTTTAACCGATTTGGGTGCGGTTATCACTAATATATTTTGATAAGATTCACTCAAAATTAAGTATCTGTTTTATTTCAATCGGTTTATAAATAAAAATATTATATCGATTTAAGTCATTATCTCATCATTAGTTAATCAGAAGTTTTTAAATAAAAACACAATATAACTGAATTTTTTATCTCAAATCAAATATTTTCGTTATTTATATAATTGTTATAAATCGACGAGAGATGTCTAGATTGTATTAAAATTTATTAAGTTTATAATTTTAAAGTTTTTTTTTAAGATTATACTAAGAACTCCATGCTAACGGATTGAACGTAATTATTGTATTAAGAGCAGAGGCCGTTTGTCTAAAAAACAACAAAGACATTGAAACAGCACGCAGTACCTACTCCTTAATTAAGCAAATGATATACGTAGATTGTATGTACTGACGACTCTATGATAAATTAACGTTATTTTATACTAGCATTGCCCGCGGCTCCGCCCGCGTTTAGATAACCAAAAACCAAATTCTTTGGTTTTACATATTAGTATACTCTTACATTGCAGTTTTTATATTTTTCTCAAAAATGAGACATTTTCCCGCAGTAAAAAGTATCCTATATGTTGACCCGGATAACCAGCTATCACCATACCAAATTTTATCAAAATCTCTCCAGTGGTTTTTCTGTGATGCGGTAAAAAGAGACAGACAGACAAAAATTCTAAAAACTATAGATTCGGCTTCTATCGATAATAATGTTTATTTCAATAAGATTTTCCAAAAAATATCTAATGTACAGATTCGGCTTAATTACAATTTTATTATATGTATAGATTACCTTCTCTTATCTACTTAGTTAAGCTAAATCCATACTAATATTATAAATGCGAAAGTAACTATCTGTCAGTTACCTTTTCACCTTTAATCCCCTGAACCGATTTAGATGAAATTTGGTATGAAGATAGTTTGGTAGTTTATATCCCGGATATCAACCCTTAATGGGGTGAAAATGGGGGCGGAATTTTGTATAGGGTATCAATCATTTCTCAAGTAAGGAATATACATACATCAACTCATACAAAGCGAGAGTGAGTCGCTAGTATTCTAAATAATTATACTAAACGTAGGCTACTACTAAATAAATTTAGTCATAAGCAATAAATATTGATTACATTGCATTGTGCATTAGAATTTCCATTGCACTATGTAAAAACCTTGAAACTACAACATCACATGACGGCGCAAAGATTTACTCATATACTACTTTAATAACTTTTAACAACTGCATTTCCATTAAGAATGATTCACGAGTTAATTTTGCATTCTAAGTACTTAATCAATTGTCAAGATCGGGAGTGTAAATAAATAAACAGTTTGGTCTTAACGCTAGCTGTCTTTATTTTCCATTTCCTTATAGAAAATATTTTTACGAAAAACAGTATAAAGGGCCGCCCGCGTGCCCGTACGCCCGGGGGAGGCGCCGCTGACTAGTGTCGCCCGGCAGCCCAGCCAACATCCAATACTTACGTGAAAACGATAAATAATACAAATAAAAATACTGTTAGCGCGAGATCGAAGCTTACAGGGACTTCTCGATTTTGATCAGTTCAGCGATACCGTCGTACATCTCCTTGACTGCATCGTACTCGGTGAGGCCCATGCGTCTCTTGTTGGAGATGTCGTAGACACCGCCCTCTGCCTCGGTGTGCTCGCCGCGGGTGCCGCGCACCTGCAAGTGGTACTTGGAAGCCACCTCCTCCAACTTCGCCTTGTCGGCGGCCAGCTTGGGCAGCTTGATGTGCACGGAGGCACGCACGGTTGTTCCCAGGTTGGTGGGGCAGAAGGTCAGGAAGCCGAGACGGTCGTGGTGGGAGAAGGGGATCCTCTTCTCGATGTCGTTGACGGCGGTCACTAGCCTCTTGTATACCTGCTTCAGGTCACCACCCATTTGCATGGAGATGATGCGGAGGTGGTCCTCCTCATTGCACCAGACCAAGAAAGTCTTGTTCTCATTGTGGTAGATACCACGGCCAGTGGGCCAGAAACGGCAAGCGTTGGCAGCCTGGAGGAAACGGTCACCTTCCTTGAACAGGAAATGGTCATCAATGAGCTGCTGCTGGGTCTCCTTGGACATGCCAGTCAGGGGGTAGAAGGTACCCTTAAGTTCGCCTTCGAGGCCAGAGAGGGTTGAGGAGACTTTGTCTTCCATTTCTTTGTATTGGGCCTCAGTTAGGCAGGGGTTGAAGGGGTAGCCCTCCAAGGAACGGCCACAGCGGACACGGGTAGATACAATGAATTCACTGCCAGGGTCCAGGTTGCCAAGAGTCTCAACATCACCCCAGTTCTTGGGTGGGTGCTTGTCAGTTTTCTTGAAGCCATTGTGGTAGTCCTCAATGATGGGGTCAAAAAGATCAGCAAATACTGAGTAAGCTTCAGCATCAGGGGCATAGATTCCAACACCAGAATCCAAGTTCTCAACACCTGAAAGCAATTAAATGAAAATTGTAAACATCCAAAACAACTAAAAACTATTTTTATTAAAAAGGAATAAACATATAAAGCATACTGTGATTTTTTTTATTTTAATTAATCATTTGAATATTTTTATTATAATAGCTACTGGAAAAAAAATTCTATAACAAATTAAATAAAAACTAGTTGGTTATAATACATTACTGTAATCATAAATTTTGTAATCTATTACATTGATAACTATAAAAACCTATCAAAAATATTATCTAAGCAGAAATTAATTATCTATATTGTAGATATAATAATCCACCTTAGAATCAAATTTTCCAGAAGAGATAAACATTAATGCAAATACATTTTCAATGTACCAACTACCAAAGCTTAATTTTATATTATTATTTAAAATTAAGTCTAATAGTAATCATTTTCACAAAATCATAAAATATTATGTAAGTACTTTTAAACAGTTATAATATTTTTTGAATTATTTAGAGCCAAGGAACTTATTACAACAGATTTATTTAATAAATCTTTGCTCTTCATATACACATAACGTATTTAAAATAATCGAGGAAAATAAAATAAAGTGCGCTATTATATAATAAAATGGCTTGACAAGCATAAAAGTTTTTAAGCGCTGTCTGCGACATTATATTATTGTTTTACGTACCAGACTGGATGCAATCCAAGAGGGTGGAGCCGAAGGAAGTCTTCTTGTTCTTTAGAGCATCGAAAACTTCCTTGGTTAGGTACTTCTTGAGCAGCGACTTAGAGTCGGAAGCCTGGAGCTTGCTGAATCCAGCTTCCAATTTCTCAATGGTTGCGGCGTCCACCATAGCTGCTGCTTTTCTATAAAGAGAAAATTACAATTAACTTTAAAACATAATACGCGTACGAAATTAATAAAATAAAGGATGCTAACGCCTTTAAAGCCGCACATGTAGCTCTGGTACACATTTTTAAAGATTCAGAAAATTACTAATAAGTAATAAGTAATAATTAAATATGGATAACGTCGTTATTCTTTGAAAGAAAAAATCGTTATATGACGTTTAACGTTCATAAAGTCAAAAGTCTACGTAAATGAAATTTCAAAATTTAGGGATGTTCTTACACAATTTTCACGGGATTCAGATTTAAAAAAACTATTTATAAATAAATGCAAAAAAAATTACTTTCGATTTTTTTAATATAAATCAAAAATTACCTATACATAAAGTAAAGAAAAATAACAAAACTTTTCACAAAAAATTACAAACCGTCTGATGAGGTAATATGCAAGTACAGCGCCACCGCAAACCATAACAGGAATCGTAATTTTTATTTTATAATTCATGGTGATGCGATATAACTAAAACTAGGTGCAATGAGAGGATCTAATGACTAAGTGATGGTTTCAGGGGAACTGCCGGTCTTAGAATTGTTATTCGAACACACCCAAGAGTCACTTGAATTCAGTAAAATTACGTAATTTAGACAGAGGTCGCCGTAGCCGCGCGCAAGTCGAGTAAATTTCAGCTCACTGCGCACCGGTGCTGCGTAGCAGCGCGCAGACGTTACCTCCCACTCGCAATTCGCTTACCAAGTATGAATGTGTTATCGTAAGTTTCTTATTACCGAAATGCATTCAATTCTATGAAACAGTCTACACTTTACAAAGCATCGTCAAATTACACTACATTCTTAATGTACGTGACATAAAATCAATGATTTCATAATTGTCATGTTGTTTTCATATAGTTATACAAATGAAAAGCAATTCTGAATATTTTGATGCAGCGACAATGATAATTTACAAAGATATAATTTGTTTATCAACTTTAAGTCTTAAAAAATTGTAATCATGTATTTTTACCAGATATTGAAAATTGTAACGATTAGATATTTAGTGATAAATATTTAACGTTACTATATTACAAAAATACATTTAAATTTTAGAAACTTTCCTGATAATTTATGGCTGCAGTTAGCATGCACAAGGCCCGACCTTTTAAGTTTAAATACACATATAATATTGAAGACAATAATTTATATTGGTGATTAAATTGGAATTATCATGGAGTTTATAGCTTTGTTAAATTCATGGACAATATAATAATAGAATAAAACTGAAATTTAACGACATGGAAAATATATGCCGGCCTACAATACGCACCCGTCGGCTTCATCTGCCGGTTTGTTTTCCTTATTTTCTTTCGTTGCACAGCCACCCATTTTCACAAATTTATAAAATAACTAGCCGCTAATACATGCACTATATCACAAAAACTACTGCAACTAAATAAAATGAACGGAGAATACTAAATGCAATGATGGAATGATATTTTGTCCAAATGAATATGCCTGTGCAGGGAGCGGCGACGGTGAGGGGTGGCCCGATCGATGCTCGGTACGCACGCACGCGGCTCACGCTTCCCGCCCTTCGGGAACAGCTTCAAAACTTTTCGGAGGGAAACCTACCCCCGGCCAGCGCCACCGTTTACTTTCGCGGGTTATATTTAAATGGGCTATTTTCTTACCGCGAAATACTCTCATATCAGTAACAGCGCACTTAAACTTATCATTGCACATCTTGATACTGTTTAAAATGTCACTAGATAGTTACTAGATATAATATTATCTTAACCTTTGAAGTGGTACCGAATGATAATGACAATTGGAGATGCTGGTCGGGCGGTAGAATATATCTTAAGTGTCTACCGCTTACCTTTTACTAGTACAACCGTTAGAGTCGACTGCTAGGTGCAGAATGGTCGGTGCGGGAGAGCGCGGAACATTATGCCCAGTGCACCCCGCGCCCGCACCGCAGCCCTATCGCTGTCAACCTTGGCCTTGCTCATTGCTAGGATGCTCAGCGTCTGGACATCGCAGACCTGATGCTTTCTTAATTGTTGGCAAATATCAATTACAATTGTAATATCAAAATTCAACTATTCATATCACGATCGGCATGAAGCTCAGCATATTCAGTTTTTCAATAGTTTTTCAACAGTACACTCCTTTTGGAAAAATATTTTAAATTTTAGGGGATATTGTTTATATCACCTGTCGATGTTGTAGTGAGCATTTACAAAATACATGAACATAATATTAATTAATAACAAAAATATATTACCGTTATTCAGGTAACTAGTTTATTTTTGTAATTTAGGGAAGATTTCTAGATACATAGTTTTGATATAAATCTTATAGATCAAATTAAATATACAGCGTAAGAGTATTATGTTTAGGACTTGACCTGCCTTTTAAATACACATACTGTATAAAATTAGTTTGTTGCCGATTCTTTTTCGAAGCTGGATGAACTCCAAAAGTGCTACGATACAATTTGCTATACAATGGCCTGGCCAATGTCAAGTTTATTTTTTCTCTTTCATTTTAATATCATACATTTTAAGCGTTATATAAAAAGTTATAAATTTTAAGGTCTTACATTCATGTATATATATATTTTTAAATTTGAAAATACAATAATATTAATAATGCTTTAATATAATCCCGTACATTCTGGGATAAATCTATTTATGAAGCCCTTTTTTCGAAACGTCAATGTCTTTATAAATGTCAAAAAAATTATCACTAACAATTTACAAATTAGGTTTTGAAAATAAAATTAAAGATGTCGTAAAAACAAAAGGTATCAATCAAACCTTAAAAAATTACTATAATAAAAAAAAATACGATAATGTTATACATAATATGTTATCGAACGAAGCCTTAGAGCCAACGTCCTCTAGTCCTTGACATTGTACTTATTGCGTGGCTTTCGTTCACTAGAGTCAAGGATGGAGGAAGCCATAATACTACCCTTATTCATTTATAACCGTTATGACCTTTTAAAAACAACTTGCTTATATTTCGTTAATTATTTGTACATATTTCGTAGCTATCATAAAAAGCTTGTGGATATTTATTTTATATAAAATACCTTCATATTTACGTTTAATATAAAATACTTAATATAATCCAACATTTTAATGGGTAAAAGATATTAAAAATAAATCTATTTCAATTCTTTCTAAATAAAATAAAATATGTACCTACGTGTCAGGGTAAAATTATCTTTATATTATTATCATCACATTTGATTATGTTTGATAGATTGAATTAAACTTGTCCACATGAACAATTTATCTTCATGCAAACTTTTGCCTCGTCACATTCATGCCATTGGCGTAACTCTGACCTTTTACTGTAATATCTATACTTATAAGCTATATTTCAATGCTGTAGGGAAAATGTCTCTTATGTAATACTGCCGCAGCGAAATCACCAATAACAGTGTTTTTTTTCTACGGATTATAAAATTTTATGGGTTTTCTGTACATTAACATGGCTAAGCATAGAGAAAACTTTTATAAAATATGATATTATAATGCTACGTACAAATAAAAGAACTGAAAGACTTTCGGTTACATTTTAGATAATAAAATACGTGTATTTTACACGTCGTGAGGAAAAACTAATGGGTTCCGAAAATGCTCTTTTATGGTTGTAATGTGCTCGACCAAGCTACGATGGAAAAACGACACCTAAATATGGTTTAGTAAGAAATTATAACCTGATAATTAAATAAATAAATATGTCAGGACATTAACACACATCACTATCTAGTTCCATGGTAAGCTACGAGGCTTGTGTTATGGATACCAGATAGTTGATACATTATACATATATAACTTTTAAATACATATTATAAATATAAGCACCCATTACTGGAGTACAAACATTCGTGCTCAGCACACAAACGAATGCCCCCAGCGGGACTCGAACCCGAGACCGCTGGCGCAGCAAGTAGGGTCACTTCGAACTGAGCCAAACGTGTCGTCGCAAGTCCCAAGTTAAAAAAATTGGAAATATTATTCTAATCGATAAAGTACTCAAATATTAAAGTAGGTAGCAGTAAATTTTAACCCTGAAGACTAGTGATTCATATTCAATGTGTGATTTTTTAAATTCAATTTGTATATAAAACTATTTGTTTTCTGAAATATACCTATTAACAACTATGAATTATATAAAATAATAGCTGTTAATTTGTAGAGCAATGCTACCTACAAAATGTATTTGTGCGATGTTATCGTGCGGAGAATGTAAATTGCAACGTAACAATGCATCTCGTTTAGCTGTTACACAGAAATCTGTTGCCAACGAACAAATATATATTTTTCAGAATAAAATAGTTACTACAAATACTTATTAAAAACTAGTTTTGCCCACGGCTTCACTCGCGTGTTAAGTGAGACGTGGCCTATGGTGATGATAGCCTATGGCCCAGGAGGCAATTCATGTCCTTGCTAAATTTTATCGATATTTGTTCAGTGGTTTAAGCCTTGTTTTTACATTTATAATATTAATATGGATTATACTTTTAGGTATAGGTATAACATATATTTTTCCTCTCAAATCATTGGAATTTTTTCAGTTTACGTAAAATATTAAAATTATGAATATCCCTAACCACAGAGAAATCATTCAACTGTGATTAATTAAAAGGAAATATGTATAAGCTTTAAATTTTAATGCAGTCGTTAGGTATTTTACCGTTACAAGCACGAAAATGTGATTACCAATTATCATCATTTTACCACCTGCTGAACGGTATAGGATAACATCGTGAGGAAGCCGGCGTGCCTTTTTTTTAACGTTGGGAAATGCATTTACGCACGACGTGTGGGACTCACCGGCGTAATACAGCCAGTACTACCCACTAAAACCCAACAAAACCTTCCCCCGTCTTAATGGGGCGTCGCAGGATCGCTTACGCATTCAACTACGACGCCTTGACGGCAGGTACGCCGAAGCAGACCACTACAACCATGGGGTTGCTCCAAGGTCCACTCTGCTATCAGAGAAGTACCAGGAGCAACCCGCAAGGTACACCGCCCCCCGAAGAGGGCCACCTCCCACCGCCCACCGAAGTGGGCAACCTTCCTGTGCGTTTCTTAGCTTCGCGCCCGGTTGGATTGCCGGGCACTACTGAGCCCCCCACCACGACAAGGTGAACGCACGTTGGGGGGGAAGCCGGCATGCTTGACATAACCAGCCCTAGCATGTTTTCCAAAGACATGTTCACATGGCCAATTGCTGGCTGACGCACTTTGCTTCAGCAAAGTGCGTCAGCCAGCAATTGGCCAGCGCGGTTGACTATGGCTTGATCTCCCTCGCATTGAGAATAGGCTCGTCCGTGCACAGCAGTGGGACGTTAAAAAGGTTTCATAAGAAACAACAAATTATGCATAAAAATCATTATAACTACAAAATATGAATTTCATTTCCCTTAAGAAAGTATTTAATATGTTTTAAAAAAATATTTAAATGCTTTTAACACGTATAAAAATAGATCATTCATAAATCACGTCTGTCATATGTTCAATGAGCAAAAAAAATTGTGGCAAGGTTCTGGAAGACCTTGGCAGTGACACCGGTCAGCGGCCTTGTTAACGGTATATAGCGTTTAAAAATAATCTTCTGTTGTAATATTTAGTACCCGGTACCGAGACAGATGCTGCTGTAGTTTTCTTTTTTAATTATCTTATAACTAGCAGAACCCACGGCATCGCTCGCGCTAAAACTAACAAAAATCTCTTTGGCTATGTTATTAGCAATAATGTATGAAAGTCTGCCGGATTTGTTGACATTTAGTAGTGTGTAGTCGTATAAATCGGATTAGTAGTTCCTGAGGTTAATTAGCGCTTTCAAACAAACAAATTCTGCCTCTTTATAATAGTAGAAAAAAAATGAACAAAATTAAATGCTATTTTACGATAAGCGCAATACTTGACAACTACTAGACCGGATTGGGTAATCTTGTTTTTTAAAAATTTCGTAATCGATCGAGTAAGAATTTAACTTTTAAGGGAAGTAAAATTATAAAAGTTGTCCGAAAGATTGGAAAATTGTAAGTGTTTTTTAATAGAACAACCTCAGTCGGGCTACTAAAATATAAATATGATCAATATGATATTTCGTACCTAGGTTTTCTCAGTTCTCTATTAATTTTAACCATTGTCAAAACGATAATATAGCTAGAAATTCGAAAGGCATTCATTTCTTGTATCACAAGAATTATTAATAATAAATACGCCCAGAGAACAATCAAACTGCACACGAAAACAAAACCTTTGTTCTGTTCGTGTGCATTCATTCGTTATAATGGGTAGGTATTAAATTTCATTTATTTCTTTTTAATTAAATAAAATATGGCTCGTTATTATGCTATTTTTGTGTTTCAACACATTCCTAGCTTGTAGGTTAATATGGAATTTTATATTTAAGAATACGTAGGTATTTCATTATGTTACAAATACTCGTAGGTCATTATTAAAACACCAGTGGAATTAAAGATCAATTGCCATATTAATGAATTTAAGGAACGACCCTTAAACTTTCAGCCTTTATTTAGAAGATGAAAATATTTTATAATTTTAGGGAACTGTTGTGCACAATTTCATATTTCTAGATCTATTGTTTTGGGTTGTAATTGTTTTTAATATTTTATAATACTCGTAGAACCTAATGCAGGATAAATAGAAAACTATAGATATATTGCTATAATTTTACCTTCCTCTAAGGTCGATGTTTTATATCTTGAGTATCAGCTCAAACTATCAAAAAAGTGAGATCTTTAAGTAAATGCAAAGAACGGTTAGTCGGAGTCAAATATTACGGTATTTATGAGTATAATTAGTGCTATGATTTGTTCTATATTGAAACTGAACTCGTGATCTTCGCCATAGGAAGTACCTTCTGTCTGAGACATCCGGTTAGAAATATATCTAAACGTACGAACCATATTAATTATTATGTTTTGTGTTTTGATAAAAGAATATGATCATCTTTGTTAAAAAGTAGAATTTTATTTAGCAAACCTTTCACAGAGATTTCTGTTTTAGAAACGCTTTTACTCGGAACTGAAAGCTAGAAAATCTAGGTCATTTTCATCATAACAACACATTGTACCTACCTACAAATGTTGCTTATGCTTTATGTAGCTTTTTATTTTTTCTACATACTCAAGTACAAAGTTCAGTCTACAGTAGGTATACAAATATGTGTATATCATTGCACTTTATAAATTGTACTATTTTTATACCTACCCTCATTTGCAATATAGTATTAACACTGGATTCTGTGGAGGGTAGTTGAACAGAAAACATTGTCGATCTGTATTAATGCTTTTAATTTATTTTTTTAATACACTTTAGTGTATAAATCTGATGTAATTTTAGTTAAATCTGGTGTAGTAAAGTGATGAGTGAGACATATATACTAAGATTATAAACAGGAAAGATATTTCGTTTGTTTGTTTGTACAGAATAGGCTCCGAAACTACTGAACCGATTTAGATGAAAGTTGATAAGAAGATAGTTTGAGACACTGGGAAGGACATAGGATACTTTTTATCCTGGATATCATCCCTTAAGGGAGTGAAAATGGGGACGAAAATTTGTATGGGGAAGCCTAGGGACGAACCCGAGCGAAGCGAAGGTGATTCGCTAGTAAAAAATAAATAAATTATAAACACTCATTTCGAACGTGTATCAAAAGCTTTGGACTCGATGGCGTCTTCAAAACAGCTTATATGAAAAAAATAATCTTTGTGATTACTCCTTCATGCTTGCAGATGGACAGGTTTATAGACTAAGTGTTCCTCCAAAGTGATTGTCTTTCTGTGTATTAAATTTCATCATAATCCGTCCAGTTGTTATAGCGTCAAGAAGTTACAAACATACACATGCACACTTTCACATTTTAAGAGTATTGTATTCAGCCCTTTTTAAACGTCATACTGCTGGGCATGGCCCTCTCTTCTTACGAGGGGAACCAGGCCATAGTCTACCACGCTAGCCGAGTGCGGGTTGGCGGACTTCACACGTCTTTTGAACTTGGTAGGTTTAAAAATAATCCGATAAATATAAAAAGCACACAGGA